CTTTGTTTTTGAGCGTGATATTTATGTTGTTTATCTTTATTGCGGGGGGTATTATTCTTTTGGGTCCCCTCGAGAACCAGATTGCTTCGCACTTTTCGGTTGATAATGTTAATTTATGTCTGACAAGCCAGTTGTGTATATTATCTAGTACCCTATTTATCTTATGCGGCGAGAGTTGATAACGAATAATAGGATGAATGGTGGAGTACAGGGCCATCTCGAAGACCTTCGCAAAGTTAGACAGTATCGAGATTGGGCGATAGTTCGACATATTGGACGCATCATCGCCTTTAAGAACTGGACAGACACGAGCGATTTTCCAAATTTCTTGTAAAGTGGAATATTTAAGAGCTATATTAAAAATATATACCAAAGGTTGAGTCAATACGTGACCACAATCCTTAACCAGGAAGCTTGGTATCTGGTCATGTCCGGAAGTCATCTTATCACCCAATATCTTAACTGCCCTAATTACCTCAGCTTCAGTGAGACTGTTAATTACTGGAAAATTACAATTTATGTTAGGAGCTGAATAAGAATCAGTTGAATCATTGCATGTAAAAACAGAAGAAAAATTTGAGGAAAAGCCATTCACAATTGAGAGCGGAGAATTAAAGGTGTTTTCGCCAAAATGCATATTTCCTGGTATTCTTGTTTGAGTACGTTTATTATTTATATACCTACCTCCAAAATTTTTTGAAATCAGTTTTAACTTTGCCTTGTAACTCAGTTAAATAGGAATTGTAGGCTATTTTAATGTCAGCTTTTACTTTAGATCAAACTTGTTTAAATTGATCATAATAAAAAGTATTGTTAAATATTTTGTATAATTTAAAATATTTATATTATATATATATTTAACTTAATATTAGCTATATTATTGGGTGGATACCAGGAGCAGTGATGTAATGTATCTAGATACTGGATCTAGATACATTTTTTGTACCTAGATAGGTATCGAGATACTTAAAAAAATCAGGATCTACTTTAGTATCTAGATCCTTTTGAAAGTATCTAGATCCTTATATACAAGATACATTTTATTTTACCCAACCTGATTGCAACCCCACACGAAACATGTACATCCAATGGATATACTCTATGGATATCCATGATATAAATAGGATATCCTGGATATCCATTGGAAAACCTTGGATATATAAATGTCCGTCCTGTCTGGATATTCATTGGACAGCCGGTGGATATCGATTTTTATGCAAATAGTATGTAATCTGTATATAATATGGAGATTGTATAGATATTCTACAAAACGAATAAAATAAAAACAGCTTCCTCCAGTACCTACTGGGAATCATATAGTCTAGTCCTTTTTAATTTCTACGAGAATGCACACTGCCGTTTATTTCTACCTGAAAAGCGCACTTAATTAATTTGTTTCCTCTTGCTCAGAATTCGATCCAGGAACCTTTGGATTATGTGTTCAAAACTTTGCCCATTGAGTTACTCCATGATTTTATTTAGTATGACTTGTATTATCATACGAATGGCCTAAATGAACTTGCTTTATAAATATCTATTGCGTTATAAGGTCGAAACAATTTTTTTCTTTGTCATTTAATTTTTAAGTTTTTAAACAGATAGTATCTAGAAGTACCTTAGATACTTTTTGAATGTATTTGTATCTGTACCCAGTTACTTTTGGGAAAATGTATCGTTTAATCAGAAACATATGCTTGAGAGTATCTGTATCTGTACCTAGATACTGAAAAAAATGTATCGGTTACACCACCAGGAGGGATACTTAAAAGAATATTTTTCATGTGTGTATGTAGGCACAACTATATCAAAAGTTGAATAAAGCTTGTCATAAAACATTGTACAGGCAATTTGATGTAGTGACACATATAATAAGGGAAAGTTGGCTTGTTTGAAATTATATTGCTTCGAATTGTGTGTATTGTTAACAGGAAAATTATAATATTTATTATATAATGCAAAAGCACATCAACTTCCAAAGCTGGCTGGTAACGATCTTTTTTAACAAATGGATTATTATTGTATGACACAGTACAATCTACATTTCCCAACACTAAATCTAAAAGCTTAGAGTCACTGTTGAAAACAGCATTATATTGATTGAGTAACATCGTTAGAACGGAAATTTGGAACATTTAAATCACCAAATATAATAATGTGTTTCATATCTACAATTAGGTGACCAAAAATGTCAAAAAACTGTTCCAAATTAGTGGCTGTAGTGTTTGGAGGAATTTAAAAATTAAACACATTAATTAAGGTACCAATAGGCATCAATAAAGGCTAGGTTATCGGTAATAGGAAGTAATACACCACCACCAATTGATTTTCTATCATTACGTAAGACAGAGTAATTATTAGGAAAGTATTCACAACTATAGAAATATCGCTAGATAGCCACGTTTCTATTAATGCTACACAATGAAATTCATTGTCAGACAATGCACTATAGATATCATTCACTTTTGTTCGCATACTACGCACATTTTGAAAATAACATTTAAAGTTTAAAATACTATTGGGCTTCGTTAGTTTTCCACAATCTTAGGCAAACCTTTGACATATTTAATTCTGATGTTTTCCCATTTGCCAAACGATTAGAAAGTTCTTGTTTTACTGAGGAATTGGAGTTCTATCTAATGAAACGTTAATGTTTTTAAAATCCTTTATAATTTTCAGTTTTTTAGCTTGCTTTATAAAAATGTGAACCAAGGATTCTTCGTTAAAATTAATTCTAATGGGTCGTGGTTTTTCAGCTGTAGGCGAAAATTTGCCAAGTCTAATTGGTTTGATGTTTAAATAATTAAAGATACTAGAAATAACAACATTGTCTTCCTCTTCACGTGTATTGTAATCATTGCATTCTTTAACGTTATACAGGGATGGTAATGGGCTTTTAGGCCGTTTAATAAACAAAGATGCATGCTATATAAAACGTACGAATAAGTGAGATAAACGTATAAATAAGAGAGACAAACAACCATTGTTGAACGAATAGGATAACAAAATTCTTATTTCCCCTCTGCCATAAGCGTGCAGTACAAGATTTTAAAACGATTAAATCAAAACAATTAAACGTCCGCCAATGTTTTACTTCCCCTCCTCTAACTGCTTTACATTCCCACTACTAGATAACCTTGACGCAAATGATTTCAGTATTATTCAGTCCACGTTAGAGTGCGGACGGAGGAATTTTAAATTTCCTTTAAAATTTAACTATGATTTTGTTTACAAAAACGAATACTTATTGAATTTTTTTCGAAAATGTGGAAAATAAACCATAGTATTCTTGTAATAAAAAAAACAAATTTTCTTAAACAAAAATGGTATTCTAAAATGTTTAAATAAATAAATTAAAGTAAATGTTTAAACAAAAATGGTATTCTAAAATATTTAAATAAAAAAATAAATAAAGTAAATGTTCAAACAAAAATGGTGTTCTAAAATATTTAAATAAATAAATCAAAGTAAATGTTCAAATTATTTACAACATTTGCCCTTGCTGGTAAGGGTCTATTTGGGAACATATTTGGAAATAATCTTTGAATTTCTCGATCTGAGATCCCATTTAAATGCCACGTTATAAATTGAATCTTTTCTTCAAGGGTGTAAACCATTTTTATTAGAGAATATTTCCTAATTTATAACAAACGTACTACCTCTTACTTACAAGTTGTAAGTTACAACACATTCTCTTGTCTGCGCCGAGCAGACTCTGCGGTCGGGCCACCCGTCTCGGGCGATGATCGTAGCCGCGCGGCGCGGTCTGGCTTGCCCCACTACTCTTACGTCACTCCACCACTCCCACGTCTCATAATGCATTTGTCTTTGTTTAATAAACGGCCTAAGAGCATATTACCATCCCTGTATATAATTACCTTATTTTTCCTTTTTTCACGTTGGAGAACGTTCTGGATAATTTCCAGAGGATTTATGTTGTTGTTCCAATAATAAAACCTTTTCTTGAAGTTTTTTATTTCATCAACAAGAACATTAATTTTATCATTGAAAGTTCTTAAAGTTATCTTCCATTTGATCTTTTATATCTTTAACGACGAGTTTGGCGATTTTGTTTTTTATTTTCATTAAAGAATTTTTCAGTACATTCAGTTATGGTCTTATTTAAAGAATCACATTCCTTTTTAGGAGGCATTTTAATTATGCAGTAGAAATTAAATAATAATAATAATAATAATAAAACGTCTTTATTTAACGAGGCGATAATAATAATACGGTCCTGGCCAAGTAATTAAATTAAAATTAAAAAAAGTTGACGAAAAAAACAACAAAGTTTGGACAGGTTAAGTATAGAAAATATGCTATAACTTACTTTTAATAGCATGATTTATTAATCAGATGGACTTACTTGTGTTAAAATATCACAAAATGTGCAATAACAAAATGTAATTGCTTTCAAACTAACAACATACAAAGAATCATTTACATACGCAAATGCACGTACATAACCGTAATACATGAAAATTTATTAACAAGTTTAGTTCACTTTAAAAACGCTTGAGGAATTATTAAAAGGCAATGGAGCGCCAGGATTTAAAAACTAAAAATATATTATTTATTTACAAACTGTAAATCTAATAACATTGTAAAGAGTAGCACTGCATCGGATGTAAAGCTAACTGAGGAGCATCCGTGCAAAACCGGCTATATCCATTTTAATAAAATGTTGGAAAAATGGCAACAGTTAAAAATGCATCTTGAGTTTTGTGGGCACAAAACTCAAGGTGATTTTTTTTATCTGTAAAGGCCAGGAAACGGGGAGTTTTTAGTTTCTACAAAAATATGCTGCAAAAAAAAACGAAAATTCGCCCCCTAATCAAAACGTAATTAAAAAAAAATAAAAGAGCGGCATTTTTTGGTAGGTATAATAGCAATTCGATTTACCGATGTTATTTCGCGAAGTTGATGGACATGAAAAATGTCGAGTAACACGTTTGGGCGATTTGGTACCTATGAAATACCTTTTAACATTGATTTTTTTTTAGAATGACGAGGACAAAGGAGTTAACAAGGAGTTTGTTAATGTGAAAATGACATTGAGAAATACTAATCCAAAATAGTATGAATTTAAGTTTTTATACCTACTTATGTATTTTTTCTACTGTAAATATATTACCTATGAGATTGTACCTGTTGCTAAAAAAAATAATTAACGTATTTTTTACTTAAATTGTTATCTAGTGACCATTTTTATAAAATAAAATTTTAAAGACATTACAATTTTTTTTATTTAAGATGATTTCACCCCAATTTAGAGGTAAGGTTTTTATCTGATTTATTACATTTTAATTAATGGATTCATATGATGTTGCTTGTATAGAATAAAAACATACGTATTTAAGGCACATGAAGGCCCCCATTCATAATCGAATTGGTCTGTTTTAACTTGTTTGTCGACCCTCCGTAATGTATGGTTATGAGAGATCGGTCGGGGTCGGGCCATGGGTTCAATAGTTTGACCATCGAACCACAGTATAAAAAAGTACAGTTATTTACGCTATTTATGAATGAAATCGTGTCTGCTAATTGAATGGGCTTGACCGATCCAAAACGATCCGAGATCACTTAACCCGACCGCGACTAATCCGTCTTATTTGTGTTATGTGTAATCTGTCAAGATTTGCCCGGCAACTCCTAAAGATAAAGTGAATTCAGTAGTTTTTTTTAAGAATTTATACTCCTGTATCAAATAGGAACATCAAAAGTAAGGATTACCGCAACAAGCACAAAAAGCTTATAACCATTTTATTGAAAAATGCAAACCCGGAAATGCAAATACAATCACGGAATTGTTATCATGTTATGTACCTACCTGTTTGTAATTTTAGCCGCTAAGGTCACATTTACAATAATTTGCACAGGAAATTTACCGCCCCTTAAAAATTGCCGCCCTAGGAAAATGCCTTTTTTGTCCCAAATAAAAATGCCCGGATTGTTGTTTAGGTCAAATTAAAAATATTCATGCAAAAATAACTCTTTCTTTCTCCTTTTCGACCAATTAATATTGAGGAACTGTAGCAGCGTTGTTGTAGCCATGTTGTTTCTTGAATTATATATACGTAGGTATTTGAATGAAAAGTATCATTTTAAGGATGCCTATTTTAAGAAAAAAATAATTATATAAGTAGAAAGGCAAAGCCGGTTTTAGAACATCAGTTCCCATGGCTGCCACACGGGGGTCGCCATTTTGGATTCCCAGATATCTCTAGACGGTTCTCCATGGCCCCTATTAAGGTGGAATTCCCATGGAGCCCCCCTATTAAGGTATTTTTGGCGCTACTTGCTTGGTGCCTACACGGCGGCCGCCATTTTGGATTCCCAGATATCTCTAGACGGTGCTCCGTGATCCCCCATCAAGGTGTAACCCCCATGGGGCCCCCTATTAAGGTCTTTTTGGTTAGGATTTCATAAAAATGATGCACCTAGCGCCCTGCTGCGATAACATATGTATTGTTGGTAAAGTAGAAATCGTCGGTATCACATGGCTACAGAGACCGCCATAATGGATTTCCAGATATCTCTAGACGGTGCTCCGGGGTCCCCCTTCAAGGCGTAACCTCCATTCCGCCCCACCAGGGGGCCCTAACCCTACATATCTCAAGTAGTGTTGGTTTTGAAATTTCAAAATTATTTTACATGATTTTAGTATAACGCCATCTCAAAAGGTAATTATTATTATAAACAGTTGTGTGCAGGTAACCAAAAATAAATTTCATATAATTTATTATTTTAAAATATAAATACTAATAGATGGTGTTTAAATGTTGAAACATGTTAACATTTAAAATAATGAAAAAAAAGGTGGTAGCGGGTTATTAAATTTAGTAATTAATAAACTACCATTCAAGGCACACCTATTAGGGGAATACCAGTACTGTGGTCCCGGTACTAATTTAGACAAAAGAATGAAGTGAGGTGATGCTGGTATAAACCAATTAGACGCTGCATGTAAAGGTCACGATATTGCTTATTCAAAAAATAATAGTTTGGAGGATAGACAAAAAGCAGATTGGATTTTGGAAAATCAAGCTTGGGGGCGGGTAAAGTCCTCCGAGGCAAATTTTGGCGAAAAAGCTAATGCCTGGCTAGTAACTACAGATATGAAAATCAAACGAAAATTAGGAATGGGAATCAAGCTAAAAAATAATAATAAAAAAATTAGGAATGGGAGTTAAACCAAAAAATAAAAAGACTAGAAGGGCGAAAAAGAAGAGACCAATTTCTTTTAAGCAAAATATCGTTGATAAAATTAAAAACTCGCTGCCTAAAAATACTGCAAACTTGGACGTTTCCAATGAAAAGTTATTGAAAAAATCATCGGTTGCATCTCTTCGTGCAGCTCGTATGTTTGTGAAAAAAGTGGGTGGACGGAAAAATGTACGCATCCCTCGTATAATCCCATTTAAAAGCAGTGGAATTTTGCCACTTCTGCCCATTTTAGCTGCATTGGAGGCTCTTGGTTCGCTTGCGGGCGGCGCAAGCGCTCTAGCCAAAACCGTTATCGATACAAGAAATTCCAAAAAGAAACTGGAAGAAGAAAAACAACATAACCAAACCATGGAGGAAATAGGCAGTCAAGGATCGGGTCTTTACTTAAGAAAAAACGCGAAGGGAGGATATGGCCTTTTAAAAAAACAAAAAAAAAACTACCAATGAAGCTACCCAATAGAGCCTTATTTGATTTTGAATTAGTAAAATATGCACAAAAGCTAAAAATACCTTATCTTAGAGGTATATTTATAAAAGATAACTTGCCTTTTAAAGTAAAATTAAATGAATTTGCTATTCTTAATTTGGACAGTTTAAAAAATGCAGGCACTCATTGGGTAGCCTATATTAAAAAGAGAAACTGTTAAATACTTTGATAGTTTTGGGGGGTTAAAACCACCTCAAGAACTTGTAAATTATTTGGGTAAGAATGTTAAAATCGCATATAATAATTTAAGCTATCAGATATTTAATGAAATTAATTGTGGACATTTATGTTTAGAATTTCTTTATATAAATAAATAATATTATTGAAAAAATATTTAGTTTTGTTTATCCATTTGATTAGATGAGGGTGTATAGAAGATTATGTCTTTAATTTTTACATTAAAAAGTTACAATCACGTTTTCTATAGATTTTTCAAATACAATCGAGCTTGAACCTGAATCAAATTACGGTCTTGCCTTAATTGGGTTTTATTCGTACAACAGTATTCCAAATATTGAGGAGGGTGAAAAAAAAATGTATTATTAACATTCTGGTTCCAGAAGAACATCATCAGTTACTGTACCAGTCGGATCGTATGAAATTGCTGATATTGAAAGCTATTTTCTTTTAATGTATATACCTAAAATTATACAAATATTTTTACGGTGCGGTGCGGTTTTTTTAGAGCTAAATTTAGGCTTATTTTAACTGAAAAGTGATTTTTATACCATTGATATTATGTAGTAGGCTATGGAAATTTGATTTGGTGTATATTTTTAATTAAAGTACTTATAAATATCGATTAAAATATAAATTGCAAAATTATAAAAAAGTACCCAAATTTCAGGAAATACCATTTTTAGTATAAAAATTTTCCATTTTTGGCGAAAAAAAATCCATTTTTTCGTCCAGAGGGACTGAACGAAAATTGTTCAAACTTTAACAGAATGTTCTCCTCAATGTAGACTAAAAATTGTAAAAAAAAATTGTGTATTTGCCTTCCTAAGAAGATACAGCGGTTTAAAATGCGACAAATTTTATAGAAAATGGCACTAAATTTATATATGATTTTTGTTTAAGAAGGCTTTGATAGAAAAGTCAAACTATATTTTTTACATTTAAAAAATATTTACATGTTGCCATGTTGACATTTTTACATGTTTACATATTTTAAAATGTGCTCCGTCGGACAATTCCTGAATGAGAAGTGTCGAAAACTGATGAAATGTGATATTTTATTACAAAATATCGAAGAACCTAGTTAAAACTCATTTAAAAAAATATATGTATAAATATTTAGTAATTTACTTACCTTTAATTTACCAGTTTCTGATTTCATTGACAAAATATTATCAGCAATAGATTCTTTAAAAAAGCATCAGTATATTTCAAAAGATCAGGCAAAATATGCATCTTAAAAAAATTATTTGCTGAAAATTTCTCCTCCGTTGTACAATACGAAATACAAAATTTTTACTGGGTAAATAGTCTGGACACTATACATTCCTTTGTTATGTGTTATAAAGATGAAAATAATGAATAATGTCAAACAAGTTGTTTACACTTTTCTTAAAGAACTTAATTTCATAAAATTAAATTTTTTGCAAATTAAAAAATAATATGTTTTACTTATGGATGTGGAGACAATATAAAAATATATATAATTTTATTAATTTGGCATATCACAAAAATGATTGGTTTGGTGGCATTTTTGCCACATCGCACGGAAAAGGACCTTTTGATGGAATAGGAGGAACCGTTAAGAGATTGGTTTCAAAAGCAAGCCTGCAAAGACCATATAAGGATCAAATTTTATTACCTTTAGATATGTTTTGCAATGAAAATATAAAAGGAATGCATTTTTTTATATAAAACCTAAAATAATAGAACAACAAAAATTAATCCTTGTACTAAAAATACTAAAAGTTTTCGTTCATTTGTGCTGTAGTGCAGAGACATAGTTCATTCACTGTACATAATGATGACACTTAACATTCTTAGGTCAATAATCCGCAAAGTGCAAACTGTGCAATAAGCATTATTTGACCACATCATAATTGTAATAAAATATATTATTATATATATATATATATTAATATAATAATAATAATAATATATATTAATATAATAATAATAATTATTATTCAATAAACAGAGTTCGATACGAACCTTCAAGCCGACCACCAGCGTTTCATTACCACCCTAATGTAACACCTCACAATGCCTTAAGTCCGGGCATTACATGGCGATCCTGCCAGTCCAGTAGAAATCAGTTTAAAGTGTAATTAATTAAAACGCGAGAAATATAAGTGAACTATTCAGTAAAAATGGGAAAAACACAGTCGAAAGAAGAAGTTATCATTGCACAAGCCGGAAATAGTGGCGGAGTTTCAGCATTCAACGGCGAAAATCTACATAGAGACGTTTTGTTAGTCATCTTATGTTTGGTTGTGTTAGTAGCTGGAATATATTACGTTAGAAGAAAGTGCAAGAAGTATGTTGAGGGAA